TTACACTCGTTTTCAAACGGTTACGTGTAAACAATAAAAAATAATATTACCATTAGGTTTGTAAAATACAATAGCACAGAAGTGTGTAAATAATATGCATGTGCAAGTATAATTTTGGTATACTAAATTTACCCAATTATAAAAAATATGTATGTATGTATAAACAAAAAATTAATTTACACAATGCAACTTTATATTTTTTTAACTGAATTCCAAAGAGAAGGAAGTTCTATGTTTGTCTGTAACTATGTATATTTTTTTTAAGTAGGTATATCTAATAAACCATTATAAAAATTTATCATCTCAAAGTTATGCACTAATACAAGAGCAAAATTGACTTATTGATTTAAAATAGAAAATATTGAGTTATTGATTGATTTTTGAGATATATTTGTAAATATTGCACGAGTTACTTAATTAAAAAAAACTCTAAATGCTTTAATCTTAGTTCCAGTCGTTTTTGGTTAATTAACAAACGAATTATCCTCGGGAATGATAAAATGGCAAAAAAATCTTTTTTAGAACTTTTTTAAGTTGTTCAGTTTGAAAATTCTCAACAATTCAAAAAAAAATCATAGCTCAAAAATTATGAACAATCGCGTAACATACATGGGTGATTCGGGTACCTCAAGGGTGCTCTATCTCTGGACTTCCGCTTGACTCTACTTACACTATTTTCTGGGATATCCTGTATAGTTATAGCTGGATACCTAGATTGTCGGAGGCATAAGGTATATCTCCTGCTCTAGGTTATAATTCGTTTGAGAGCAATGTCTATATCAAAAAGTTCGCCTGTTTGGTTGCGTGTCAGTTAAGCTCATATGTAGAGCTCTTCTGCTCAAGTACAGAAATATTTTAGAAATAGAGATTTACGTATCATTTTTCAACTTTAGCAATAATGTTTTAGAAGTCACAGCAGTAGGTAGGAGGCAAGTACCTAGATAGTAACTAGCATGTACGGCTGGAAGCCCTGGTTTCGAGTCACAAGTCAGGCCAAGTTTATTTCTTGAGTTTTTCCGTTAAGAAATTGTCAGTACCACTGTCCTGCCCCTGGTCTCACGCTGGTTATGTCGAATTGTCTTCTCACATGAGAGTTTCAAGAATAGAGAGTGCACTTGTGTCTGCGCACATACTTGTGCACTATAATATCTCTTGCGCACATGCCTAGTTTCAGTGAGATTGGCGACCGTGACATAAATTGTCCAAGAGGACATTACTATTTATTATAATAATATGCTAGTAACTCTTGAATCTTAGTCAGGTATGCGATTAGTGTAAGACTTTCAAGACACATATGAGTGCTATCGCATTGTCGTTGTTTTATTCACGTTATTGACTTCTGTTACGCCTTTCTAATGATTTTATTTTACACTTTTCAAAAGACAACACCTCGTCTTATCACCTCTTCTGGTGACAACAGAGCTGGCTGGTTTTTCGCCTAAAGAATCTATCGCCATTGCCACTCAGCGGGGAAATGTGGGTAACATTCTTGTCACTATTCCATGCGGACTTGATTTGAACAGTAATAATTAAGTGAATATTTGTTTTGTATATAGGACATTTCACGTGAAGCGGACAACGAAAAAAAGTGAGGTTCTGTAATTCGTTAATATTAGGCATATTTGTAACTCTAGGGGATATGAACATGTACACATTTTTTTTTATTTGAGGGTTTTTGTCAAGTTATGGGATTCCAAAGAATTGATCAAACTGAAGAAACAGTTTTTTTTGGATTCTTATGAAGTAATCTATTTTAAAAGTGTAACGAAATTCAATTCAATTGTTGTACTTAAATACTACTTACATTTGTCAATAAAATTGAGATTCAAGTGTCTTCAACTAGATACATGTAGTTTATCTACAGATAGATTAGATCATAACTCATAACTTAAGTATGTAAGATTTACTATAGATATGACGGTGCATCAAAAAGAGATATCTCAGGTTATCTGAATAATTTGTACTTTCCTACCTATAACCAGTTATTGTGTTTTTAGTTCAGTAATTTTTGCGTGAAAAGCACATATATAAAAACGGATAGACAGACAAAGTTACAAAAATTCAACATCTATGGTTTTGGGGTTCATATTGTATACACAACATGTAACAATCATTGTTTTTAAAACATATTTTATGTATAGATATTGCTTTGTTTTTATTTTATTTTTTCTCAAATAGCAGAATAACTAATAAAACATCGGAAGAATTCAAGAAATGTACATGGCTAGCGCTGGGTAAAAACTATTTAGTATTTATGTCTATTTAAAACGTACCTAGGGACGAACCCGAGCGAAGCGAGGGTGAGCCGCTAGTGTATAACTATGTATATGCTTTGTTATTGTATATATATATATATATATATATATATATATATATATATATATATATCTTTGCATTGCCCGCAACTTCGCCCGCGTTCAGATTACCAAAAACCAAATTCTTAGGTTTTACATATTAGTATACTCTTACAATGCAGTTTTTGTATTTTTTCACAGAAATGAGATATTTTCCCGCGGTAAAAAGTGAAAAATCCTATATGTCAACCCGGATAACCAGCTATCACCATACCAAATTTCATCAAAATCCCTCCAGTGGTTTTTCTGTGATGCAGTAACAGGCAGACAAAAATTCTAAAAACCATAGATTTGGCCTCTGTATCGATAATAATGTTTATTTCAATAAGATTTTCCAAAAAATATCTAATGTACAGATTCGGCTTAGTTACAATTTTATTATATGTATAGATATGCATTATATCTGTTTTTAATTGAAGTGAGCTGAACTCATTAAATGAAATATAAATACTACAAAATTAAATCTTTTAGTATCATTATTTTGCTTTCTTGTACTTATTTTTTAAATGACTTTAAAATAAAAAGGAGGTTATCAATCAAGTATGTAATATTATTGCAACTGCAAAATATTCACTATTTACAATACAATAATCTATTAGGGCTTCCAAACAAATATAAATTTTTTTATAGGTGTATGTATGTTTGTATGTATATAGATTTGTCCACGCATTATCCGTAACTAGTTATCGGATATTGATCACTCTTTTTTTATTTGCTTACATTTATTTCAACTTAACTTTTGTTTCTTTAAATATGAACACAGGCCTTTTTAAACGGTTTTAATTGGCTTGTCCTGTTTGTTGAGGTCAAATTTAGTAATTAAAATTTTACCCCTAACTTACCCTCTTACCCCGGCCACGGTAATGTTATGCATAACATTACTGTGCCCCAGCGTTACATATTTACTCAGGTTACGCTACGCCCCACGATTTTATTTTTGAATCTGATCAATGTTTTAGATTGATGAGGAGAGTGGTGTGATGACTGATACCTAGGACCTACTTAATTATTTTTTAGCTTTTAGTACATTATCTGCGTTATTATTATCTTTCTTTTTAATAAAACCGTTCGACTTAAAAAGTATATTATTTTATTTAATCTAATTTATCTGAATGTGGTGAGTGATGGTGTCCTCCTGACCGGTTTCGGTTACAGCGTCCAATATTACTGAGATTAGCCAATTGCGCAGGAGGTATAGTGTAGAAGTGTAGCGGGCATAAGTACACTTTTTATTCCTTTCACCCTAAAATTTTGATGCGACGACAATTCTACACAAACTGTGAGAGACAAAGTGCAGGACCAATGGCTTTACATGCACTCCGAGGTACGGGGGTATAGCACAATCAGGCCAATCCAACCCAGGTACTCCGGATCTTCATCCGTTTGTGCCAGCCACTAGACTACTTTTACTTTTTTGATGATACGTTTGGCTCAGTTTGTAGTGACTCTACTTGCCGTGCCAGCAGTCGCGAGTTTGAGTCCTGCTGGGGGCATTCATTTGTTTGATGAGCACGAATGCTTGTCATTGGTGTTTATATTTATAATATGTATGTGTTTAAAGTTATATATGTGTAGTGTATCAGCTGTCTGGTATCCATAACACAAGCCTCGTAGCTTACTATGGAACTAGATGGTGCTGTGTGTTAATGTCCCAACATATTTATTATTATTATTACTGAGGTAGAAAATGTGGTGAGTACACATTTACCTATAATAAAGGCATACTCGTAGTTGCTAAATAGCCAGCTAACAGATTCTTACTATATAGATGTGAAGTAAACAATTGAGAATAGTTCCTAAACATTTGTTAAAATAAATTTTACAAGGACACAATTACTGCTAAAATGTACCTACTTTTTTTTAAGATTTATATTGAACGCATGTTCAATATGTATAATCTTAGATATATATATATTAAAAAAGTTTTTTCACAATATTCATTTATGCAAATATTTTTGTTTACTTATTGATACATATCACGAATGTTAGCATGCTCACTTATTGCCTTAATCGGTCTTGTGACCGATACAATGAACTATGAAGTGTAAACAGAAGTTTTTAAATGTTTTGAAAACAGCAGGTTTAAATAATATTATGTAAAGTATTATCACTTCTTTATTATTAGTTAAATCCATTAGGTGATAATATGACTTACAGACTGACAATCTTTCTTTGTCACGATCTCTGTAATGTGATAAACGAATCACATGGTTTAGCGTCATTGCTAAAGAGTAGGTATTCACAATCGCGGAAAGTATTCGTTATTTAGCATTCATGACCATTCTTGGTTTCTTAAAATTATTATATGGTCATATATTAAACTGGTTTATTGGGATATTATTTTACATAATACAATTATTTTATACTTTTTATGACATGAAGCAATAATTGTGTTATTTATGTGGTAGTTGCGTTTTATGAATACTAATAATTTTAAATAATCATCAGTAAAATATAATATAATAATAAATATAATAAAAAAATAGTTTGCAATCAGCCTTAAGACTATGAGCAAATCTGTTCTGTGATGCTATTATATAAATATGATGATTAGTTAATATTTGGTTTGGTGTATTTATAATTTGCTTATTACTTACAAAAAATGTATTCATGACGCACGATATATCATACACAAGAAACTTATTATAAAAGTAATGAGCTTACCGCGGTAGCAGATCTTGATGTCCTACCAGTGCCGCCTGTGGATTTCAGGTACAATTTCACAGCCTCAACACCGGATCGTTTTGCTCGGTCTCGATGTGATAAAACCGGTGACCGCTTCCCACTTTTCTGGTTTTCTTGCTTCAACCCTTTCTTGCCCTTTTTATTCACATCTTTTGCTTCTTTAGTAGAATCTATTATTTGTTTTTCTTTACGATCTCGTGTCTTCATGTTTTATTTACAAATTATTTACTTTCATATTGCTTCAAGTAAACGATCTGTGTAAAGATCACTTTTCTAATAAAATTATTGATACTGTAAGATAAAGAAAAATCGGACGGAAGTTTTATTTACATGTACCTTTTGACAAGTAATTGATAAGATATTTATCGAAGGTGAAGTGGAAAGAGTACTGATAAAAAATAATACAGAAGTCAGCTGCCCCGAGTACGTGACGGTTGAGGTCTTTTGTGTTAGCACCTCAATGTGATCACGTAGAGCTATGAAACCTTGAACTGAAGTCTCAACGATGGCGGTACACTGGTCAATATCTTGGATTTACACAGGCACTTAATTTATTTGGATAAATTATTATTTCTTTCTTATGGCTATTGCCATAGGTTCTGCCATTATAAACAGTATGTGCAAGCGGATGACACAGGCCGGCCGGACTGGCGCACGCGCGCCCCGCTCTACTGAGACACTTAACGTTGCCTCAAATTAATTAAGAGGTCTTGTGACACTGTAAATCAAGAGCAATTCGAAAATCATTAATGTTAATATAACATATATATAATTTAAAATATTAAAATCCTATTATATTCAAAAAATAAAAATTATTCCTAGCTGACTTTTTACCTCAGAAATAACTATGTAATACAAATTATTAGGTTAGGTACGAGTAAGCTTTAACTGAGATAATATAGAAGTGAGAATAAAATTTAAAATATGTATGCGATCAGTATAAGAGTTTAGAATAATGTTATAAATGCAAAAGTAAGTTTGTTTGTTTGTAATCATTCGACACTTAAAAGTTCTTTTGCGTCTTAAAATTTGGAAGTCCAGTATTAAAAAACGACACACTATTCTTCCACTCTTTTGGGGATTTGATCTCATTAAATTATTTTTAGATATAAGATTATTTGACTTTTTTGTAGAATATAAGTTGGTAAATAATATTTCTACAATATTATTTACAAGCAAGGACGAAAATCTAGTATTTAATTGTAGCACGTAATTTAATTGGGAGAATACATATGACGCATTATAAATAAATACATATATAATATAATAGACCAATCGGAAATATGTTATAAGAGATTTTTTTTATTGAAAACCTGAAGTTTTATGACTTTCAAATGTTAGCAGGTATATAAGGAATAGAAATTCGTAAATTGCTAAGATGCCCAAGTATAACTCGCGTCATCTATAAAGAACGCTGGAAGAAAGTGGAGAGGGTATGTTTGCGCATGGGTATACTCGCGCACAAAAGTACTAAAAGTACTAAGCCTATTATTTTATTATTCATAGCATTTCGCTCGCGGCTTCATATATTAGTTATTGGTAGGGACATTGAAAAATATATAAGATAGAATATCATTAAATAGAATTCTATTCATTATTAAAATGTTTGATTCAGTGCAGAATGTTTAATCTACTTACAAAAAATTAAATTAATACGTTTAATACATTTTTTTTATTATGCAGTTAGCATTATTATTAGACTCTCTCTTTGTAAAACAATATACGTCAAAAACAATTTTTCTCTTTTCTATATAAAAAACCATTTCGTAATTAATTACGTTTTTCCACCATTTCCAACCATTTCGTAATTAAAAGTTTTTAAAAACTTTTGTGTGCGCGATGGTATTTTGAACTGGCGAACCAATAGCGCGCCGGCAAGCATGCGGCTCGCGCCCCGCCGCGCCGCCCCGCGCCCCGCCGCCCCGCGCCCCGCCGCCCCGCGCCCCGCTTTTTACCACCAATTTGACCGATAAATCGCTTCTGCGCAGCTTGACAGCCAGCGTTCTTTTTAGATGACGCGGGTTATACCTCCAAGAAATGGGGGACGCAAAGCGTAGAAAAATAGTTTTTTTTAATTTCCGGCTTACTGTTTACCGGGTTGTAGGCTTAGTAAAAATCTAAACTAAGACTATTTTTTTTATTAATAACACTTTTTACAATAACTTCAAAGTTTTCGAGATATTTGCAGATAACTTGGCTTGTAACTTTTTTTGGTATTTTATTTTTAATTTCTAGAATAATCTTTTGATTTTCATGTAACTCGGGAATATAATCTTCGAAATACATATAATAAAAAAAATTGAAATGTTTAGCCATTTCCGAGAAAAGTATGTTTTATGGACTCGAGAGGCTGAAAATCACCCCCAACTTCAAGTGCTATGCCGTTTGTATGTGTGTATATGTTCGTTACTTCTTCACATCGACGGATTTGGATATTTAGTACACAGACATGATGACATAGACTTGCACTTAGGATACTTAGCAATAAAATTTTATAAAGGTAACACCACCTGTATATCGATACTTAATTTTATAAATGTGAGAGTGTGTTTGTTTGTTTGTGTTTCCTTCACGTCGAAACAAAATTCAAATTAAATAAAGTTATAATTAGTTATGTATATGTATACTTACATATGATAAATATTCACAAAAATAAAAAAAAAGCCGACGGGTAAACATTGAACTAATAAGATAGGAACAAGTTGGCGAATGAATAATTATTATTTTATCGTAATGTTATAAACATGTAAACATTTAATGTATTTTTTAAAGTAAATATTGTTACGTTTGGGGATCGGAAATTAAAGTACGTCTTTAGCACTATCGATGTTTTATTGCTCTTGGTTAACAACAGTGACTTATGGAGATCCACTAACACGCGCTGTGCCTATAGGTATACACAGTTCTGGTTAAGCTCAGTCATTGAACACTAATTTTCACCAATAGGCACACTTTCACTACAACTTCACTTCACTTACTTCACTTTTTCACTTTTTCGTACTTCTTCTCAAACATCACTTAGCTTCGAAATTCAACTGATCTCTTGACACACTGCCGGTCTTTTTATATGCATAAACAAAGAACATTCTAGTCTATACTAATATTATATAGAGGTAAAGTTTGTGAGTTGTGAGTTTTGTGTCATTGTAGGGGGTAATCTCTGGATCTACTGAATCGATTTAGATAAAATTTGCTAAGAAGATAGTTTATCCCTGGGAAGGACATAAGATACTTTTTATCACGGAAATCATCCCTTAAGGGGGTGAAAATGAGGATGAAAGTTTGTATGGGGAATCAAGCTAGGGACGAACCCGAGTGAAGCGAGGGTGAGTCGCTAGTTATGTTATACTTTTATAGTAATGGGCCAAAAATTATTAGTATGTATATAAATGCAAAAGGTGCATAGTAAAGCACACGAGCGTATCGAGTCGCTAGTAACTAATAACAGTGTAATATTCTAATTTAAAATCAATTACCACTTCCAGTTAATTTATATCCACTTAATATTTCTCGTATAGTGATGTGCTTTATACAAGAACGCGTAGAACACATAGCATATCTTGTTCTTCGGCCAATTTAAATGTAAATTTTGCTAAGTTTTTTTTATCACAGACATTTGTTATTATAAAATTTTGAACACAAATTTGTTTTTGCAACAAAATCCTCTCCAATTCTTAATTAGTAAGTCCTTTTTTGAAAAAGACCTGCTTTGGGGGTTTAGTGACTAACGTGTATAGCTGCAAATCCGGGGGTCCTGGGTTTGTATTCAGGGTCTGGTCAAGTTAAGTTTTAGAGTGTTTTTGTTTAAAAGAAGAGCCGGGAATTTTGAATTAGTTGTGTCGTCCTCCGGAGCATGAGAGTGTCGGGAGTAAGAGTGCACTTTAAATTATAATGTCTTCTGCGCAGTTAACTAGTCTCATTGAGATTGGCCGCGGTGACCGACAGTAGGTATATATCCCCAATATAAGTTATAAAATTATTAAATAATTACCTTTTGATGTTGCTACAATCTTTCTACACAATTTTATAACTAACAAAGAAGAAAAAATCACAAGATAGTAGATACACACTCAAATCTAATTACTTCCAGTCATTCAACTAGATGAGCCATACTCAACATTTTTATAGAAGCCACAAATACGTTTCAGTCATGGTGTCGAGGGCCGCAAGCAAAAATTATTTAGGTCTTAATGAAAACGTAATTCCAAGTTAACGATTTAGTTACTTTTTTAACAAAGATATTATGTTATAATGCGATTTTTGATGCTGCCGCATGCGGCCCGTGGGCCGCAGGTTGAGTATAGCTGAACTAGATCACAGGGTAGATCTATAATAAATCACTCTATTAACTTTGTTGTCTTGTGATTTTTGTGGTTATAAATGGGATTTTATTGTTTTATCTTAATTTATTTATTAAATGCTCATGTCCTCAGGAGGAAATTCGTGATTATGAAAAAAATACAAACGCCATCTATAACTTTTATCAATAATTAGATGTGTGTTCACATTTATTTCGCTTTGCCTACGTTTAGAGACTGTGTCGCTAGAACTCTTAACTTAGTAGTTTGGCTGTAGCTCAATAGATGGCGTTTTTTAATTTTCAAATAAAGTTACTATTTTTAAGCTACTCTATAATTTCGTTCACAGATTATATAATACTATAATATATTTCGTTAGTGGGTGAAATTTTAAATAAATTTTTAATACATTGATATACGTAAAATTGCAATAGATATTTTAGACCGGCAGACTCAGGCTCGTATTTTTTATTCCGGTTAAAATTCATAATAAAAAGCTATACTGAAAATATTATGAACTAAATATATATTTTTTATGTTTTATAATTGGTTGAATTCACAGACTCGAATAAGTACGTTCAAAGTGCACTTTGGTACTTAAATAGGACTCTACATTGAGATCAAGGGATAAATTAACGTTCTTTCGTTATAATGAGAGGTCCAAATATATAGAGCATAAATTTGTATGTTTTTGCTTTTCCAATATGATTTCACATAATTTCCTCAAGAGTCTAATGAAAACTTTCAACACATTTTTGCTTTAATATAATAAATAATACAATTTTTTGTATAAGTGACTTTATTACTATCTTATTTTAAAAGATTTCAATAAAAAAATTAAATGTATATATATGTACTTTAAATGGAAACAGTATATTTGGTACCTACATTATTTGGTCCCACAATCACAATCTGGTTCGAGGCTATATTTAATTGACAAGGGTTCCGTGGTTGGCAAAGTCGATAGTTCACATTCTCTCAGTTTTCTACAACTATATATATATATATATATATATATATATATATATATATATATATATATATATATATATATATCGGACGATCACTTAATTTACCCGAAATTGAAATACTTATACTGTACAAAGTACAAACTGTACTAAATTAAATTTGTACAGTATATTTATTAATAGAAAATAGTATTGTTTAACTTATTTTGTTCTAATTTCTTAGGTAAAAGTGATATATAAAGTAAAATAATTACTGATTGACTAAATATCACTTTTGATTGCACTGAAATACAATATGTTGGGACATTAACACACAGCACCATCTAGTTCCATGGTAAGCTACGAGACTTGTGTCATGGATACCAGATAGTTGATACACGACACATGTATAAACTTTAAATACATATTATAAATATAAACACCCATGACTGGAGTACAAACATTCGTGCTCATCACACAATGAATGCCCCCAGCGGGACTCGAACCCGCGACCGCTGGCACAGCAAGTAGGGTCACTACATACTGAGCCAAACGTTTCGTCTAATATTTACATTCGACCAGCGAAATTTTAGTTTTCACTATAAATAAAATATAAATACTTAATTAAAGATACTTAAATTAATAACCGTGATTTCATTTACGTTAGTTATAAAATTCACAATATTTCACTAATAAGAATGTATGGCACTTTTTCTAGGCTTTTTAGTTTTCTTAATATCTCCATCTTAGAAGATACAATTAGCTACAAATAAATTATCAAAGTGATACATATAAAGAAGGCTTATAAAATATAATTTTAGTGTTCTTTGGCGCCACAGGAGAAATTTCCCTCAATATAACATATTAAATGTATATGAAGTCTACTGGGAGATTGTATTTTTATTATTAACTAACATTGCCCGCGTTGAGATGACCAAAAACCAAATTCTTAGGTTTTATATATTAGTATACTCTTATATTGCAGTTTTTGTATTTTTTATCAGAAATTAGATATTTTCCCGCGGTAAATAATATCCTATATGTTGACCGGGATAACCAGCTATCATACCAAATTGCATGAAAATCTGTCCAGTGGTATTCTCGTGATGTGGTAACAGACAGACAGACACGCAAAAATTCTAAAAACTATAGATTCGGTATCTGTATCGATTATAATGTTTATTTCAATAAGATTTTCCAAAAAATATTCAATGTACAGATTCGGCTTAGTTACAATTTTATTATATGTACCTATAGATTTTACAAGCAATGCTACGCTTTCAACTCGATAACAAATATACGGTTACGATAGTCGTTTTCGTTACTTGACCTAATGACCTTTGCAAACAACTGGCATATTTTCCTCAAATCTAATTGCAAAGGGCAGATTTAAGTACTATGATTAATAAGTATTGATCAAGTATATACGTTGTATGTATGTTCTTTAATTCTAATTCTAGATCTTTTTATTGAGATATTAATAGTTTGTCTAACATAAAAAAATGTGGATCTATTAATTATTTCTATGTATATATATACAAAATAACTTCATACATATTTTAATACAACTAAATTCAACTAATGGTATTAGTCATATAATTTAGTTATAATTAATACTGAATGTAAAACAGCATTTTATATACAGAAGAAAATCTGTATCATAGATTTTCTCATTTAGAATTGACTTTATACATTGACTAACATTTTGTTAGGTGGTTATACAGATATCTCATAAATTGCTATCTTCGTCATGATGGAATGCGCTTGATTTTCTCGACGTGAACCTGGGTTCTGTAAAAAAATAAAATTGACTGTACAATTAAAAAAAAATTAAATAACGTAAGCGATAATACGATTATTTATAATAGTACAACTAAAAATAAATAGCTATATATATAATAAAATAGTAACTAATCGAAATGGGTACATAAAATATTTTTTTAAACAATGACTTTTATGTACTGTGTACAGAATGTAGATCCCAATGCCATAGTTATTGAAATTATTATCTGTATGACTGTTTATCTGTTTGCTTTCATGCAAAAAGTACCTACTAAACGGATGTCAATTAAATTTTATGCAGCGATAACTTCTCAATGAAGGAAAATTTCTCATTCCCACGGGAAAACAATAAACTCATGAAACGTATGTATGTATCTACTACAAAATTTTAGGTCTTAAAAAGTCCACAGAAAAGTCCACGATAGCACGAAGCGAGAGTAAGACTCGATTGTGAAAAAGTATTGCCGTTTGTAAAATAGTTAAATAATTGTAATATATATTCGTTCTATTAATATATTTATAATCGGCGTTCTAAAAAAGGAGATCTACGAAATCTAAACTGGATAAATTTCTAATATTTCATCGTTCCGAGTACGAATACAAAGGTTCGATGTTCTTTATTTTTTCTTTGTTTAATTCGATTCCATTTGTTTTTTTAACGTAGATGGAGCCGTTATTATATATTATATACAAAATAAAACATTATATGGATATTCTTTTGTGTAATTGTGTAATACTTACTGCTTTCAATATCCTCACAATTATTTTCATTAAGTAGCATGCTGCCTAAATTATTAGTAAGAAGAAATCCAATAGGAGTTGTTATAATTATAGCTTGTACTATAAGCCTCATCAAGTCTTCGGCAATAGCTAACTCTTCTATGTGCTGACATTGAGCAATTATGGTGATTATTGCCATAGGACATAGAACAGCCTGAAAGTATTAAAAGTAAAGTAAATGTAAATTTGCATTAATATTATAGGTTAATGTAATGTTTATTTATAATTATTTGAATATTTTAATTTTCCGTATAGTTAAAGTTGAGTTATGTAAATATAAACTAAAAAAAAACCGACTTTCGGGCACTAAAATGTAAAAAATAACTAAACGGTGGTTTTCATTTAGAATCAGATATTTTCGAAGTCGGTGCCAGCCGATGCAAAGCAAATTTAATGTATTTCGATACGTAAAATATTTACCTATTAGATATTCATATCTTAAAATATTGTTTGCTGGCACCGACTTCGAAAATATCTGATTACTTAGATTTTACATTTTAGTGCACGGAAGTCGGGTTTTTCTTAAGCTTTTACTTTTCTATTTTTAAGCAGTTAATTTGTAAGAAGAAAGTTTTTTTAATAACATATTCGATTAAAAAATTTATTTAAAAAAATAAATTATTGTTGATTTTTTTTAAAACCGCTCGACCGATTTCGATAAAATTTATATGGGACCACCCTTACCCATACCCTTTGAACAAAAAAAAAATTCCAAATCAGTTCAGACGTCTTCGAGTAATCGGTTAACATAGGTACATAAAAAAAAATCCGACGAATTGAGAACCTCCTCCTTTTTGAAAGTCGGTTAATAATTGGGAAGTATTGTAATGGTAAGTAAATAAGCTTAATTACTTACATTCAAGAACTAAATGATATGTTATTATAATATAGTCAATTGAAAAATAAATAAAAATCTTCATAATTATTGTGTATTCAGCCACTTTTAACATTCTACTGCTGAGCACGGGCCTCCCTTCAATTCATAATTATAAAATAATATTATATTTCAAAATGATAAAGGTTTAAATTATGAATCTTTTTACCTCGACAATCGACTTTGGTATCCATGTACAGCATACAAAGATCTTCTGTTTCAGAGTTAATTTCCAGCAAACTAACACTGCAGTTATCAGTCTTACAGTGAGGCATACAAGTAAGATCCCTAATCCAATTAGCATAGTTTCTGATATCGAACTGTGCACCTGTAAATTAGTTTGTTTCTTTGTTACAGCATAATTAAAGCATAATTAGTTGAGACTTTAATTGTAAAAGTAAAGATTCTCTACATTTCGGAATCTTTACAGACTGAATTTGTGATTTACAAATGACTTAAATGGTTAAGGCATCGATAGGAGTAGTAGGGGGTAATATAGTTCGTAAACAATCAAATATAAAATTTCAGTAATTCTATTTGATCTTTGAAGGTTAAGAATCTCTAACGCACAAACACTAAAAAATAGTTGATAATTGAATAGGATATTTTAATTTTTCATCCTAAACTTTAGTACTAATGTAATAAATACTCAACCGAAGAAAGCAGAAAGATGTACATATATTCCCAATTTTTATATTATTCATAAGTATTTATAAAAAAATGTGCTGTGAATACTAACTACAAAAAATGTGCCAGTGAAGGCAAAGAGCACCGGCTCACATGTCGACCACAGCACTCGGTACACGGTAGCGGCCGGATTCTGGTTTAATTTCCATCCCGTCTTGGACCAGTGTGACGCCGCTGTTGCATTACACGCAAGAACCGCTACACCGCCTATAAAATAAAATAAAAGCGAGTTTTCATTTCACCATCGGAATTTTATATTATTGCAATCTCGCATTTTAAGAAATATATTCGAATATTCCTTTAAGAAAAATGGCGTTAATAAAAATCGACTATCTCTTCATGAAAGTTAATGTTGCTAATATCTTCAAACGTAGAGAAAATCTAATATCTTCAACGCGTATTTACTTACTTACTTACTTACTTCTTTTTACACATTGTATCAATTCAATGATCACTTGTGTACGTCAATTAGAAGACTTAAACTAAAGCTACGAGGATTCGTAAAAATGTTTTTGTCACTAGTATAGATATATTAAAACTTAGCTAATATATAAATAGATATATCTAACCTGTTCCACCCCATCCAATAGAAGTAGTGAACATGTTCACAAAAAGCCCTCCGGCAAGAACAAATAAAACTCTCAATTCAGTTACGAAGACATCGTTTGGATTGGGTATATACTTTGCCAGACTTCCCCATGCAATTCCTAGCACTAAGCCAAGTGGTAGCGCTAAAATCGCCTAAAATTTATCATGTTCATATAAATGATTTCGTTTTTTTAAACACTTAAAGTTATAATTAAATATATATATATATATATATATATATATATATATATATATATATATATATATATGTCGGTTGATAAGGTTTGACTTAACAGGCACTGCCTATTAAGTCAAAGGTTGCAAGTTGGTCTCTATGTTATAGGTATGTTTAATATGATTTAATTAGATTTGTTATTATTTTATGGTTCTTTGACAATTTTAGTATATACTTTACAAAGCAAAAATATTAAATATTATATATATTATAATATTTTCATCATGATTTATCTCAAGTGATACAATCAAAAATTTAATATAAATAGCGCCTGCCACTTTAAATATAATATTTTTTGTCTAGTAACTTGCTCTGTTCGAAGCGTAAAAATGGTAACAGATACATATTTATATGCTTACTTTTTAAAACAGTATTATCTACATAATATTAAAGAACATTAAAAATGTTGCCCATGTCAATCATTTAAAACAAACTTAATTAAATATTAAGAAAAACCATTTTTAAATACTATAGTTATTATATGAAATTAATTTTGTTAAATATAATCCAAACAATAAAATATAAAAATAATAATAAATAAAACAGAATCCTTACTTTTACATAGTGGTAGCTGTCATCAAACTCATAAAATATAAAGCTGAAAAGTACGCCAAATGTACCGACGCTCAGAGTGGTGTCCAGCCCACCGGCCGTACATATAAGTTGCGACCAATTCACTTTTCCACTAGCGCTCTTTCCATGTTTAATTACTGACGGCATTATCACAGGGCACGACACTGATGCATAGAAGGATCCCAAAAGGAAACCTAAAAACACCCTTCATATTAAAATATATTACATTCATTAGCTCTACGTAGTAAAATTGCTTTGCATTTTATGGAAACTTAAAGCACGAATTGAATTTATCATGTTCCGTTATTTTCAAATCTATATATTACATATTTTTTTGTGCATTTAACTGTTAAAATAGAATCAGGAAATTGTAAGACATAATAAAATTAAAGGTAATTCTAATAGATGTTAAAAACTCTTTAGTATTATCATTATGTGGGTGTACAACTGGTTATTTAGATTCAAATTTACTGCGTTACGAATGAGATAGAATATAAAAATATACAAAAGAAATAACGGACCTTCGTTACTAGAAAAATGGACAAAAATTCTTTTCGAAGCTTGCAAATTTGCATCTCATTTTCATGAGACAAAGAAAAGTGAAAACATGAATAAAACGAGAGTAGATGGAAATTTGTTATAATTAAGTATAAAATAATATTTTCTTAGATCTACGCGAATACTTGACATTTTAAATAAAACTATCTTTTTGAATTTTTTCGCGAATTTGTTTTGATTTTTGGTTCCCGACGTTTCGAATGCTTTACAGCAATTATGGTCACGGGAGAGACTGAGGTGTTAGATTTCTCTAAGGATATGGTTATAAATATAATACTGGCAACACTAAATATAGATAACTAATTAATCTTTTTAAAATTGTAATAATTATAATAAAAACAACTCAAATTAAATAAATAATATTCCATATTCAATTATAAAACTAATTAAAATTATAAAAATGTTTTAAGTTAAAAAATATTGTAAGGTACTTTGGTGCCATATTTTCAATTTTTTGAATTCATTTTGTTATTTGTGGGTAGGCTGTCTGTATCAACTAAGAGAGACATCTAACACCGCAGTCACTCCCGTGACCATGATTGCTGTAAAGCATTCGAAACGTCGGGAACCAAAAATCAAAATAAATTTGCGAAAAAATCTGAAAAGATATCTAGTTTTATTTAAAAAGCATAAAATAGTATTAAAAATTATTTGAATTTAGTTAGTCTACATATTATATAATCGAGGTTAGAAGTTGCGTGCGTATAGCAAAAGCGTGCTTCGAGGCGCAAATTCATAGCTTCAACACCACTGTACTATAACGAAGCACGTCATGTATTGAAATGCATTCAAATCTTTTGCAATGGCAGTCCTATAGCGAAATTTATTGAATTGGCTCTACCTCGAGCGTATATTGCGCACCATTGTGTAGTACATCGTGACAAATTTTATTTTATCAGGTGAAGTCTACCACAGTTTAGAAATATTTTAGTAGCCCTACATCACTGAGCATTGTAGAATTTAAAAATGTTTTTAAATATTTATACATATTTTTATCACAATTATATTTAATTAAAAGTATGCATTTTCAGAGAAAGAAAACGTTTAAATTATAGTTGGTGAATTCAGATAAACTACTAAGAATTTTTTGAAGGATAGATAATATTAGGCCCTAAATGAACTATTCATACTCGTAGTTTTAAAAATTAATATAAAAACACTATAAGCAAGCTCACGCTAATCAATAAAATACTTTTTATTAGTCAATATAGATAGTTAATCAGTTAATCAAATAATTTAATCATATAGGAAACATTCATTTAGTGCATAGAAAATTATCAAATTTAAGTGGATTTATGGCAGTAAAAACTAATAGCGATAAATCTATTACTTTCAAACCAAAGTCAAATCAAGTTCAAATTTCATACCAAAATCCTAAATCAAGCAAATAAGAAATAATTACAAAAAGGGGTAAATACCGGTCACAAAGGAAGATATTTCATCTTATATCAACGTACATACATATAGCAACGTACCCCAAATCCATGGGAAACCAAGGAGGAAATGTGTGCAGACTGCTACAGCCAATACTTCCGCGCTCCAAGGCAGTGCTCCCAAGGCTAACACTTGCTTCCAATTTTGTTTTATAAACTTAACGTCCCAAGATAAGGATCCTTTTCCCAGAATAATCACTGGATATATTTTCCTAAAGTAAGCAAAATAAATATATATTAATAGAATCATCGTAAGACTTCGAGATTAGATAATTTCAATTGTATACTAAACTTTATAAAGCACTATCAACTTATAGAGCCTAATACTTTTATACCTGATAGATAATTGTAATTTGTACGATTAATGATCAAAAGCAACCAAAAGGATTCTTGTTATACTTTATCTTACAATATATATTAATCACAACAATGACATAAATGTGGCAGTTTGTGTTTGTTATTATTGTTAGCATATATTGTCAACTAGCGACTCACCCTCGCTCCGCTTGTGTTTACTTATATTTTAAAATTTAGCATTGAATTCTCAGAGATGAGATATTTTCCGGTAGCAAAAAGTATCCTATATGTTGACCGGGATAATCAGCTATCATCATACCAAATTTCATCAAAATCCCTCCAGTGGTTTTTCCGTGATGCGGTAATAGACTGACAGACAGGCAGACAAAAACTCTAAAAACTATAGATTCGGCCTCTGTATCGATAAAAATGTTTATTCAATAAGATTTTCCAAAAAATATTTAATGTACAGATTCGGCTTAGTTACAATTTTATTATATGTATAGATTAATAAATAGCCTATATTCTTTGAGTTATATGTAAGTACATTATAATTCAATTGGATATATTATAGACGTATATAATTAAGCTAGCGAGCAGACTGATACGAAGAACATAATATTATGTCATTAAATCTACTTGTATATTTAAACCTCATACATAATACAGAAAAATCCTCAACAACATTTTTACCTTTTTTAATTCGGTTCGGTACAGTATTTTAATAGTTCCCCGTTACTCGGGGTATTTACATATTGAAAGAAGTTATTACAGGAGGAGTCCTAATATATACAGCTGAAGAGTTTGATTGTTTGGCCCCGCTAGTGTTTGGAACTAGCATTTCAATTTGAATAACTATTTTTGCAGTTTGTAGCTTATTTATTGGCATTTTTTTATAGGCTCGCGGCAATCATGATATCACTTTGTGAATGAAGTAATCTTTACATATAATAAAACTGTAGAGGTCGAATGTCTGTACATAGAAAAAAAAATGCTGAAACCTGAGTCAGGTGTAAGACGAGAAATAGAATAAATCCAGACTTTCTTAAATTTTTTGTTTCTCTGTTTGTCTCTTTATACGGGCTAATCTCCGAAACTGTTAAATTTAAATGAAATTTTGCATGGTGGTACCTTATATCCCCGGTCAACATTTTAGATACTTTTCATCTCGGAAAATTTAAAGTTCTCGTGGGATAGTTAAAAAATCATAGTAACTTATACAGCTTAGTACACAAAAACTACTGAGTGGCTTTTAATAAAACTTTACAATACTATAATTCATACATCAGAATAACAAATATTCTATTTTTTATCCCAGAAAAACGTACGATTCCCGTGGGATAGATTTATTTTTGTTTGTCTAGTCTAGTTACACATATTAAATAAACAACGCACGCGTAGCCGTGGGCAACGGTAGTTAAAAAATAAGAGAAGAATTGAGAAATTATTTATGCAGACAATATAAATCATGTAAAATATCAGTACCTTAAAAACCCATCGATATATGGATATGCTCGCATGTCAACAAAACCAAAGTGGCGAGCGATGATCCCCGTAAGTAAAGCAGCGAGGAGCGGCGGTAATGTGGTCAACTCTTGAAGTATTAGACCGCTCGCCCACGCTATGACACCGATAATTGTTAGCCGAAACCATTGGCCGTTTAAACTCCAGTCTTCGCCCAATGCACACCACAGATATCCCCATGTTAAAGCCCCTATAAATAAATAATGTTACTGTTAGTTTTTATTAATTCGACAACACGTTTGGCTCAGTTTGTAGTGATCCTACTTGCTGTGCCAGCGGTCGCGGGTTAGAGTCCCGCTGGGGGCATTCATTTGTGTGATGAGCACGAATGTTTGCACTCCAATCATGGGTGTTTATATTTATAATATGTATGTATTTAAAGTTATATATGTGTAGTTTATCAACTATCTGGTATCCATAACACAAGCCTCGTAGCTTACCATGGAACTAGATGGCGCTTTATTTATTTAATGTACAAAGTACCCTTAGGTCGCGGCTTCTCCTGCGTAAATGGATGACGCGTAAATATTCTGCGTATACAAATATCTATGTGTACTATTCTCATGACGGTCGGTAAAACGGTGTAGACGATCAGACACTGCAGTGCTATTTGGAGACGAGTTACAAAAAAATGAGTGGAAAAATGTCTCACCACCCGAAGCAATTTGTGAGGAACTTTGGAATAATAGTGGTGTTGCACAAACAACATTTTCATTTTATGTATATACTTAGATTTACATATACTTTATTATTTTACTTATATAACAACCATATTATTACTTTACATATTCAATTGTTCTTTATTTATTATCTGTAATTGAAAGGATTTGAAATCATTGAATCATAATGAAACCTAAAGCAGTGTGTACCAATTAATGAAATTTCTGGGAAGCAACTAATAATGTTGAGTTCTCGTTCTGAATGCCGCCAATAACGAGTTAGTTTTAATGTATTAATTAGTACATTTTTTTGTAATCAATATTTTTTATTGGATAACCTTATTCATGATATTATTGTTACATATATTTTTTCTTTAAATTCATAGTTGCTTTAAATGAAATCCTACTAAGCGTTTTGCTTAAATATTATGTAAATTTATGTTAAATCGTCTCTCCAAAGATTCCGATTACAAAATGTATATTAATTTCGTTATTAATATAAAGGGACTATCAACTAATTTGAACCTCTCTCAGCGTCTTAAAAGAAAATTACTTTATACAGTTATTTCTTACTTTATACAAGTTATGAGTAGATTGAGAAGTAAGTTTAGTTTATTTTTGTATTTTCTTTGTTTACTAGCATTACCCGCGGCTCCGCCCGCGTTTAGATGACCAAAAGCTAAATTCTTAGGATTTACATAATAGTATTAGAGTATATATTTTCCAAAAAATATTTAACAATTTTATTATATGTATAAATTATTTGTTTATGCGATTTTTAAATCTCTTAAGAATATTATATTAATTTTATTTAATTGTATAACTATAATATTTTCTTAATTTTTGTAAATTAATTTTCATAATAAATTTAATTATTTTTGTTTATATTAAAAGAAAAATAAGTGTACTTACCTAATATCACTAACGCAATATAATGAAAAACTGTTGGGGCTTTACTATCAAACCACGACGCCTTCTTGACTTCATCTTCTTTTGAAAGTTTATCAATACTAACTATCGGGGTTGTTTGTATTGATCTGTAATTTTAATATAAAATATACTAAGCATTTCTTTAATTTTATAAACTATATAATTTTTTATATAACATAAATTGATCACGCTATTTCCCTCACATATTTCCTTGCATTTTCTCAAACTCTTCTCCCACACACACGGCTCTGACTATTAAACAATCGTCTTCGCTCATTAGACTTTAATTTATTATTATGAAACAAACTAAAGTAATTACCGCTCATAAAGATATGAAGAACACTGATATTTCAGTTGTTTGAATAGAGAGGCTTACTTACGTTTTCTCTTCCTCCTGATGTACGAGGTAGACACCCTTATCGATAACTGTCACGGTGTGCTTATCTGAAATAAACCAGATTTCATATACAAAGTGGTATCCATACATATAATAAAATTCTAACTAAATCGAATCTGTCCATTAAATATTTTTTGGAAAATCTAATTGAAATAGACATTATTGTCGATACAGAGGCCGAGTCTATAGTTTTTAGAACTTTTGTCTGCCTGTGTGTCTGTCTGTTACCGCATCACGTAAAAACCACTATACGGATTTTGATGAAACTTGGTACGATGATAGCTGGTTATCCGGGTCAACATATAGGATACTTTTTACCTCGGGAAAATATCTCATTTCTGATAAAAAATAAAAAACTGCAATGTAAGAGTATACTAATATGTAAAACCTAACAATTTGGTTTTTGGTCATCTGAACGTGGGCGGAGCCGCGGGCAATGCTAGTTGCAAATAAGTTTCTATATACGAGTATTTCTAGATGCGCGCTTTAATTGCTAGTAATTCAGAGGGCATTCACGGTCATGACGCAACATCATCTTCTATAATAATAATTTTATATTCAATATGTTATGCAATTGGTTTTTATTTAAAAGACGAGTTCTATATTTATTCTTTAGATATTTAATATTTCTTTTATCTTAGAACAAAAAAAAGGGACCGACAAAATTAAAATATCAAATAAAATTAAACAAGATTGGATAATATTATATTAATATTTCTATTTCATCTACGAGTAAAAGCAATAATATACTTATATAGAGAAAATGAGATTCTCAAAATATTATTTTGTCATCTTTTTATTTAGACTTTGAGCATGTATATATGAATAATGTTATTTGGTGGGTGGATGTTATAACCAATTATAATTTTTATTTCCAACGCCAGTGATAAAATAATGCGTTGTATCAATATAAAATAGTTCCAATGGATTTCGAATCCTTCTGCGTAAAATATATATTTATTTCGTAAATCCATTTCCTATATTAAATTATTTACATTTCATTCAAATGTTCTCGAAGCGTGTAATATTGAAAATTTATTTGTTTGTAGTTTTTTAAAGTTTATAATAATATGTAAACAATGAAATTAATATAAATGTTAACATAAGATTGCTTTACCTACTAAGTACTATGCTGAAAGATAAAATCAGTCTGCATTGATTAACAATGTGCAATTTCATTACATCAGCAAAGGTTCATATTTGTTCGACCAACTACTTTAAAACAATACTAAGGATACTTTTCTCTTCTTTGATCTTCAATATACGTAGGTATTTATTACATATCACAGTTATAATTTTTGTTTAGATTTAATACTGATACAACAATATGTACATATAAAAAAATGACGATTTCATAAACACACTGTTAGATAAAATTAATTATTTTCCTCTGCCAATAGTAAAAATAGGAGGTATCTATTTATTTTGACAATCATCATATTTGTTCTATGTTTTGACATAATTTCTATATAATGTTATAGTTTAAAAAGTGAATTAATATGAACTGCAACTGGGTTCCCTTACAGGATTTGATTAAAAAAGATTTTGTACCTATCCTTTCAAAATGTTAACATAATATAATATATTATACACCCTTATATATGTATTATTCTACTATATTTGTATTCCATAAAGTCTTGAAATAAATAATACTTTCTTAGATTTACGCGAATATTTGACATTTAAAAAAAAATATCTTTTCGGATAATTTCGCGGATTTATTTTGATTTTTCTTCAAATAAACTCATACAAAAATAATGAAATACACGCAGCGATAATCTATACATATAATAAAATTGTAACCAAGCCGAATCTGTACATTGAATATTTTTTGGAAAATTTTATTGAAATAGACTTTATTATCGATACAGAGGCCGAATCTATAGTTTTTAGAATTTTTGTCTTTCTGTCTGTCTGTTACCGCATCACGGAAAAACCACTGGAGGGATTTTGATGAAATTTATTATGGTGATAACTGGTTATCCGGGTCAACATATAGGATACTTTTTACCGCGGGAAAATATCTCATTTCTGAGAAAAAAAACAAAAACTGCAATGTAAGAGTATACGAATATGTAAAACCTAAGAATTTAGTTTTTGGTCATCTGAACGCGGACGGAGCCGCAGGCAATGCTAGTATGTCATACATTTAATGACCTGACGCAAAACTATTTAATCTTTAATTAATTTTGGCTTTCTTCTCCTCACGTGGTTTAGATAAACGTTTCGAGTGTTTGTGGTTACTATCATTGTTTTATATATATACATAACGTGATACTCGAGTGCCGTCATCATTGACTTTAACTTAATAGAATCCGATAAAACAAGGTATCCTCTGTTTATTTATCCGTCGACACGTCGATTTGCTTAATTTTTCATCAACTCACATGATTTAAAAATAAGCAATGGAAATTATAGATATGTTTTAAGTGCCCATATACTACATAGATTATAGTCTACTAGCAGAACCCGCAGCTTCGGTCCCGCTAAAACTACAAAAAAAATATCTAAAGATGTAGTTTCATTTAAACTTTCGTCCCATATTTTACTCTCAGATAAATGAATTCATTAAATTTCGAAAAATTCTGAAACATGTATTTATTTAATTTTATTGAAGAGCAAGTTCAAGTTCAAGTAATTCTGATCATAAATATTTTTTTTATATTGTATTATAACGTATTTTCCCGTGGAAATAAGATGATCTCCGGCGGTAAAAAGTATCCTATGCCACTCTCCAGCGTTCCAACTACATCTCCACACAAAAAATTACGCCCATCCGTCACTCCGTTTGGACATGAAAGAAGGAAAAACAAACAAACACACTTTCACATTTATAATATTAAGTATGGATATGTCGAGAGCCCGACAAATTCTCATTATATTGCTGCGTTCTTACGCTGTAATGTAATTTGAAAATATTATTTTTATTTGAAAATTCGAATAGGTAAATACTAAATAGCAACAACACAACAGCATTGTTATTCTTAATGCGCAATAAATATATATCAGTCTAAAACTATCAGAATTATGTTACTTGTTATTTTTTCTCTTTTCTGGTTAAAAAAGTGAAATAAATGGTATATAATATGTATAATGTTTTGTTATATGTATATATAATATATATTTATTTAAGTATTTACATTTGAGTAACTGCACTTTAGCCTGCATTTTAATACTATCTCTCTAACTCACTTAGGATGACTGGAAGAGATCTCTTCTAGAGATAAGTCCACCTTTGCTAACTAATTTTATTGTTTGTTACTCTCTGTATCTTACATATAAGTGCAATAAAGAATAGTAGTATATATAAAATCAATTTTTTAAATGCACTTACTTTAGACCACAGATTACAAAAGAATTTGTTTGAACTGAAAGCAGAATAAAAGAGAATAATAGAAAACTGAAGAGAAAAATGTAGAGAAGCTTAATGCAAAAGGATATAGTTCATACGTTTCCTATTTGTTGTTATAAAATGTTTGGCTATATGCTGGACGAGGATGTAAAGAAATGCTTCAGTTATTTTATATTTAACAACAATTCTACTTGCAATAATATTACTGTTGAAATGGTAATTTTTAATATTTTAATGGTAATTATATAAATCATCTCAAACTTGGCATATGGCTGTTTTAGCTAAATACAACATACAAGTATGACTTATACCATTTTTTTACAACATAAACTACTTATTCCAATGTATTTCGAGTACTATCTATATATGGTTAATAATAATATTATTATTAGTATTGGAGGAATCCATGTAATTTTTTTTTGTTAAGTTTACAGCAAGCACACAAAGGTACTAAATATCTCAATAGTGTCAAAAAGATAAATAAAACATTCTGGTATGAATCTAAAGAAAGAAAACAAATAATATTTGTATAAAACAAATATGAACTATCTAGAATTTTGTGGAAATATTATAGTTAAGTTAAAAAGTAAACAAACCAAAAAAACTTAGGTTTATCGAAGAGTTTACAAGTTGTTTTTAAATATGTAGTTCCATTTTCCCGTAGAAAAATTGGTATGCTCAAACGTGATCACGTAGTATATAATGATACTAAATTATAGTATTATCATCGGATATAACTATGAAAAGTATCAAATCAAAACGAAAATAATTAAGTAGGTACGTTAAAATTGACCTGTTAATTATATATTGATGATGTATTAAATACTTACAATCTTTTTTCTGATTCTTTGAAATCAAATGGCCTTACATAAATCAAATGTACGCTTCGAACATGGTGTTTCTTTTTTAATCTTTTTTTTTATGTATGTTCACCGATTACTCGAAGACGCCTGAATCTATTTGGAATTTTTTTTTTGTTTCTTCCCAGGTGGTCCCATATAAGTTTTATCGAAATATTTTTAGATATGAATATCTAATAGGTAAATATGTATTTTACGTATCGAAATAGATTTGATTTGCATCGGCTGGCACCGACTTCGAAAATATCTAATTAGGTTTTTTACATTTTAGTGCCTGGAAGTCGGTTTTTATTATATTTTTATTAAGTTTTTTATAAATCGGTTTGTAATAATAAAAGAAAAAAAGGAAAAAGAAAAGTTATAAAAAAGAAATTATTGTTATAGAACTGTTCTTGATTTTAAATTTGAACGTTTAACTCATACCCATATTCATTCATTTTGCGATTTAGTGATATTACTACTTAAGTAAGAATGTATTGAGATCGTTAGTTTTTTACATAAATATATTTGGCAATATTGAATACATTAAAATCACAATCACAATATACGAAGGCGAGATTTAAAAATACTTTATCTCTTTTCTACAAAAACTTAGATATTTCCAGAATACAACTGAATAGTCGTCAATGTATTGCCATTGTGCTAACAAAACAATGCAAAATTAATAAGGTCAAGTAGCAGACGCAATTAATTCAAATATAGTATTTATGAGCATGTATTCGAAACTGGCTTTAAACAATTTTAGCAAAAAGGTGGCATGTTGTGCTTTCATAACTTTATGTTATCAAAATTATTTGAACTGATATAATATTTTTTGAACTCATTTGAACTGATA